TCTTTACATTGTAATTGTTCCACTCGTACACTTTCATCACCTAATCCACGCATTTTAACAATCCCTTCGTCTTCTCCCTATCATCGTTTACTTTCGGAATTTCCATCTATCACACGACCTTCACAATTTAACCAACCTATCAAGCATTCTGTTGTACATTATATTTCAACTACTGGACCACCCGTGTTTAGCCGTCCCCGTCGTTTAGCCGCCGATAAGTTAGCCATAGCCAAGGCTGAATTCAGCCACATGATGGAGCTAGGCATAGTTAGGCCCTCCACTAGTCCATGGGCTGCACCGCTACATATGGTGTGCAAAAAGTCTCTCGTTGACTGGCGCCCATGCGGGGATTACCGACGGTTAAACACCTCCACTGTGCCTGACAGGTATCCACTTCCCCAACTCCACGACTTTTCATCTAGCCTAGCTGGAGCAACAATATTTTCTAACATTGACTTAGTCAAAGCTTTCCATCAGATACCCGTTGCTCCAGAAGACGTTCCCAAAACGGCGATTACAACACCGTTCGGTCTGTTCGAGTTTGTCAGGATGCCTTTTGGGCTACGCAACTCCGCCCAAACTTTTCAACGTTTCATCAACGAAGCCCTCCGCGATCTCCCGTTCGTTTTTGTCTACGTCGACGATGTTCTGGTAGCAAGTTCCAGTGAACACGAGCACCTACAACATGTGCGTCTCATTTTTGAACGATTAAGCCAATTTGGCGTTTTCATTAATGTTTCTAAAGGCGTTTTGGCGCACAGTCGCTGTTTTTCCTAGGACATCGCGTAGATGCTTCTGGTTGTCATCCCATAGATGCCAAAGTTTCAGCTATTCGCGATTTCCCTACTGCCACTTCTTTTCAACAACTGCGCCGTTTTATAGGCCTTGTCAATTTCTATCGACGTTTCATCCCTCATTGTGCTCAATTAATGCTACCACTTACTAACCTTTTACGCGGGAACAACCTTGAGTTTTCTTTTCCTGACACAGCTGCAGAGGCTTTCAATCGTGCGAGGAAGGCTCTTGCGGATACAACTGTCCTTGTTCACCCTATACCTGATGCCCCACTTTCCATTGTGGCCGACGCCTCCAATTTCGCTATAGGTGCTGCCCTTCAGCAACAGACGCCCACTGGCACCCAACCCTTGGCTTTCTACTCTGCCAAATTGACACCCCCACAAACTCGCTGTAGCAGTTTTGGTAGAGAACTTCTTGCAATTTATTTAGCCATTAAGCATTTTCGTAATTATATTGAGGGCCGAGATTTTTGTATTTATACTGACCACAAGCCTCTTACTTATGCCCTCTCTACTTTTTCTGACAAGTATTCACCCCGCGAGGCCCGCCATCTCGATTTTATTTCTCAGTATACCACCGACATTCGATTTCTTAAAGGCCTTTATAATCAAGTTGCTGACTGTCTTTCTCGGCCTGGCATTAATGCCATCACCCGCCCTTCCATCGATTTGGAGCGCATGGCAGAACTGCAAAATCAGCCGACTTTCAGTGAGAGCCTTCAACACACTAGTCTTCAACTCGAAGCCATTCCTCTTTCCACCACCCCCGATACAATCTTGTGTGACGTATCGCGCGGTGCCTCCCGACCCGTAGTGCCAAGCGAGATGAGACGAGATGTTTTTGCCGCGTTGCACAATCTAGCTCACCCTGGCATCCGATCTACCCAGCGCCTCGTCAGCGAGCGGTTCGTTTGGCCAAGCATGAACACTGATATACGCCAGTGGACCCGTTCATGTTTGGCCTGTCAGAAGGCCAAAGTCGGACGGCACAACAAAGCCCCCATTGGCACTTTTCTCGCACCCGACGCACATTTTTTACATGTCCATATCCATCTGGTAGGTCCCTTTCCAACATCTCGTGGTTGCAACTACTTACTTACTGCGATTGACCGATTTACTCGTTGGCCCATTGCAAATCCCATACCTAACATAACTGCAGATTCCGTTGCTCATGCTTTTTTGGAACACTGGATCTCTCATTATGGCGTCCCCTCAACCATTACCACCGATCGAGGTCAACAATTCGAATCTAGACTGTTTAACAGCCTTACCAACCTCCTCGGATGTTCTCGCATACGCACGACAGCATACCACCCCTCATCCAACGGTTTAGTCGAGCGTTTCCACCGGCAACTCAAAGCCTCGCTCCGAGCTCATGACAACCCTTCCCATTGGAGCGAGCATCTGCCTTTGGTCATGCTCGGTATCCGTACCGCACTCAAGCCCGACTTGGAGTGTTCCGCTGCCGAACTTGTCTACGGTACTACCCTACGGATTCCAGGTGATTTTTTCGGGTACTCTCAAAGCTCAACCGACTTGGATCCCAGCGATTATGTGCAAAGATTGCGCCAAGCCATGACTCATCTTCGAATCACTCTTCTACGTCCTTCAACAAGTAAGTCGTACGTCGACCCGAACTTACTAACATGTTCTTTTGTATTTGTCCGCATAGATAGCTTTCGCCGGCCACTGCAACAGCCCTATGACGGCCCATTTCGAGTACTATCGCGCAAGGACAAGCACTTTCCAATTGACCGTGGAGGCCGCACCGACGTGGTTTCAATCGATCGCTTGACGGCGGCTTATATCGAGCCTCTTCCAGCTTCTCCAACCGAACAACCTCCACTTGGCACATTGCCACTTACTATTTCCCAGACTCCATTTACACCCAATAACCCTGCGTCTTCCCTTATCCCACAGACTCCTCCCCTTACGCGCAGTGGTCGTCATGTCCGTTTTCCCGACCGTTACCAACTTGTACAATATGCATAACACTCCCACATTTTCCTTCTATTAACAATAATTTTTTTTGAACTCCGTTCTCCTAGGAGGGGGAGTATTGTAGTGACATTTAAGTCTGTTTTGTTTTAATCAGTTACAATACGCTTTGACACAACTTTGAATAAGACAAAGAACACGCACGTGCACTTTTACCTGCCGACGACTTTGTTCTTATTTACTAGTTTGTAACTGTTGGGATACCGCTATTTTCGTTTCTGGATAGTCTACTCGCTGTGCCCAACTAGTGGGTTTGTCTCTTACAGGTTTATCCTAAAGCACTATTATCTAGATCCAGATCCTTCCGTCTCCGAAAATTTCAGCTTATCGTCAATTAGTCTTTTGTCTCAAAAATCGGCTTCTCTTGTTTGAGAGGTTGTCCTCCTAACTTACCCTTCGACGAGGATAAGCAAGAAAACGGAATCATTAAGTTAGTTTCAGTATCTGCTTTTTGCTTTAAGTAAATCGTTTGAGACTCCAACATTTGTGAAATAGACAGACTTCTATCTTTCCCCTATTAAGCTTTTACCTTTCCATGATACTTTTTACCCTCTCATTTTGCTGTATTAAGCAGTTTAAGAAGAAGAGACACTAACTTTTTAGTTTGATTTGTAAAAATGACATTGCTTTAGGTCTTAGCCGTTATCAGTAAGGTCTTTTAGAATGTAATCGCAATATAATCCGTGCTAGCCTCCCGTTTTTCAAAAAGGGTAAGTTCGTAGCGATTTATTTAGACTCCGAGGATGAGAATGATGAGTTCGTCAATAACCTTGTTAAACCGTTATATTGGCCCTGTTTTCATTCAAGTACCGGTGTTACGTAAGTTAGAACAAAAGGCATTTTAGAAGGAGCACCACCCAGAATCTCTAAATCTGAATTGGGTAGCTTTGCCTTTTCTCGCACTCTGTTCTGTGAATTGAGGAAGTTGAGAAGGCTAAAATACATCCTCAACTAAAAAGTGTTTGAAATGGCGTATTTTACAAATTTTAATTGATTCGTTTGGCTAGTCGATTTCGATAATGGTCAAGCATTTGAGAAGGTGTTACAAAGGTGGATCTTAGCAAAATAAGAGTGTGCATGCGTACAATGTCTCAGCGCAATTTCTTTATGTCTTTCTTGTCCACGTCCCGTCAAAGAGCCACGGCTGGCTAATGATAGTGGCATATGGCCTGACCATAATTGGAGTGTTCTATTGCATGGTTTTGGAGACCTGACGCTTTCTTCCTTCTATCACCCACATTTAATCTACAATCAGACATTCGCAAACGTTGTAACTTCTAACGACCCAAATAGTGCTTAATAATTTTCTGCGGTTGTTTCAGATGTTTGTGTTGAAAAACCTGATTTAGACTTGTCTTGTCTGTAGAGATGAATTTTGACTTGACAGATGGAGTTTTACCCACGCGAGCATAGTTTCGTGTGGTTAGGACCTGCTAAACAGTTTAATTAGTTCAAAAAAGGTCAACTTTAGAGTTCTGAACAATAAACGGACAGGGAAAAAAAACCAAATGGACTAGATTTCCATCTCGAACAGAACTTTAATCTGCTCACGCATATAACATGCTCGGCTCCCCAAAGTTAGCTCACGACTTTTCATACGTTTGTTTTTGTAATTCCTTGTATAACCCACCGCCTCTAGCAGAAGTAAAGTAAGATTGTTCAGTGCTTTTTCAGGTTAAATTAACTCTTCCGCAATGAATGCAAGGCTCATTTTATTCTCGAGTACCAATGGGAAGCCCTAGCCTTTACTCTGTTTCAAAATACGAAGCTGAACCTCGCTTCCTTTAACTGGTAGTAGTCTACTCCAGTATTATGAGAAATAATAACGAGAAGTACCTTGTTCATACGTTTGTTTCGAATGCTGGCATATGAAAGAAAGGGACTTGTCGTAAATCGTAATGTTCTCACGAACTAACGGGTTATATCTTACGAGCCCCTAGCCTTAAATGCAGCAAGTAAATCGGAGCAGTGAATAATATAGAGATTTTTGAACGTTAAGAAAAACTGACAACAGAATACCGCAGCAGAGCACGCTAGCAAGGCGGGTTGTACAGGTGTGTCGTTTCTCGTCACATTCAAATAAGCAATGCGGTCAAAGAAAATGGGACTAAATTGTCAAAGGTAAGTTAGCCAGGTACCTCACCACAGTACCCCCCTTCTAGACCGGAGGGCAACGAGATACGGCGCCGGAGGATATGCACAAGTCTAGAAAAAATGGGTAACTAAACGATCGGGAAAATGAACGTGACGGCCACTGCGAGTTATGTATGGAGGAGGTACAGTCGAAGAGGGTTGACTGCGTGCTGTGGTGGACGATGGTGTTGCAGTTGGATGCTGTCGACATGTAGGGAGAGGAAGTATGCGGGACGGAGGGGTAGAGGGCAAGGGAGGGGAAGGGCAAGGCAGTGGGCAGGGTGAACGAGTAGGGGATAGGGAAGATGGAGGAACAGGGGTTAGGGGGTCAGCACAGGTTTGTCCTTGTGACAGGTCCGGCGGCTCCTCTGCAACAGCAGCCTTGACCCGATCGACACTGACCACGTCCTCCTTGTCACTGCGAAGAATCCGGAAGGTCTTGGTGTTGCGCGCGAGCACGCGGAACGGTCCTTCATATGGTGATTCCAGCGGCTGGCGCATACGGTCACACCGGACGAACACATGAGTACAGTTGTCCAAGTCTTTTTCGACATAAGACTCAGTCATTGGAGATCGAGGTGGAACCGGGGAAAGCGAGCGCATAAATTGCCGCAAACGGTGCACAAGATTGTCAGGAGTCTCGTCGGCTCCACGAGAGGTTGGGGTGATCATCTCGCCTGGCAGTCGGAGGGTAGTGCCGAAAACCAATTCAGCTGCGCTACAGCCCAGATCCGACTTCAGAGCTGCGCGGATGCCGAGGAGTGCAAGAGGAAGGTTGTCCGACCAGTTTCCTGGGTCTTCTACGGCACGCAGGGCGGTCTTTAGCTGGCGATGGAAACGTTCCACCATACCGTTGGCAGCGGGGTGGTAGGCTGTCGTCCGAATGCGTGTGCAGCCAAGGAAATTAAGTAGCGTTTGGAAGAGTGCCGACTAAAACTGGGCACCACGATCAGTCGTAACCGTGGATGGGGCACCGAACATGGCGACCGAACGACTGACGAAGGCCTTCACGATGGTTTCAGCCTGAACATTCGGCAAAGGAATAGCTTCAGCCCAGCGAGTATATCGATCGACACAGGTAAGGAGGTAGGTGAAACCATTGGATGGAGGCAAGGGGCCTACGACATCCAGGTGCACATGGCTGAACCGTGCGTCGGGACTGGGGAAAGTGCCTGGTTGTGACTTGTTTTGACGCTGCACCTTGTTGCGCTGGCAGCTCAGACACGACCGGGCCCAAGCTTTGACGTCCTTGTTCATGCCAGGCCAGACAAACCTTTCCGCGAGGAGCTTTTGAGAGGCTCGGATTCCAGGGTGGGAGAGTCCATGCAGAGTTTGAAATACAGCTCGACGCATCGAGGCGGGCACAAAAGGGCAATGAACGGGAGTTGAGACGTCACAAAGTATGGTACCAGAGCCGGTGGTCAGAGGAACGTATTTGAGTTGGAGACCACTAACAGACTCGTCGCCAGGACAACCGACTCGCTGCTGCTCAGCCGCCATGGCACAAAGATCGATCCCGTGTGAGAGTTGGAGGGAAGACAGTGAGGGTCTGGACAGCATATCAGCCACCTCATTCTTCGGGCCATCAATGTGGCGGATGTCGGTTGTGAATTGCGAGATGTAGTCCAAATGAGAAATCTCTCTCGGGCTATATTTGTCAGAATGGGATCGGATGGCAAATGTAAGTGGTTTGTGGTCTGTGAAAATTGTGAAGTCACGACCCTCAAGGAAGTGTCGGAAATGTTTTACGGCTAGGTAAATGGCAAGAAGTTCACGGCCAAACGTGCTATATCTCGTCTCGGCAGGTGAAAGCTTCCTGGAGAAGAATGCCAACGGTCGTGTCGAGTTGTTGATATGCTGTTGGAGGACTGCTCCTACGGCAACGGTCGAAGCATCAACCATCAGGGACAATGGGGCTTCTGGAGCAGGATGAGTGAGCAAGGTAGCATCAGCAAGGGAGGTCTTTATTCTCTCAAATGCAGTCAGCGCGTGGCCACGTAACTCAAGGGGACCCTTGGGACCAGAGAGCAAGTTGGTGAGTGGCAGCATAAGGTCGGCACAGTTCGGTAGGAACCGGCGATAAAAGTTTACCATGCCAAGGAAACGTTGCAGCTGACGCTTAGAGGTTGGTGGAAGAAAGTCACGAATGGCCTCAACCTTGGAATGGAGGGGACGCAAACCTTGTGCATCGATATGGTGACCAAGAATATCAAGGGACGGCACACCCAGAAAACACTTGGAAGGGTTAATGACCCCGCCAAACTGATCGAGGCGGTCAAACACTAAGGCAGGATGCTCTTTTTGTTCCTCGGCATTTCGACTGGCTACCGAGAGGTCATCGATGTAGGCGTACACAAACGATATACCACGTAGGACTCGATCAATGAACCTCTGAACTGTTTGGGCAGCATTGCGAAGACCAAATGGCATGCGAATAAATTCGAACAGGCCGAATGGTGTGGTGACGGCAGTTTTGGGAACATCCTCAGGAGCGACAGGAATCTGATGGAAGGCCCGAACAAGGTCAATCTTCGAGAAAACCGATTTGCCGAAAAGATCTCCAGCAAAATCTTGAAGATGAGGGACGGGATAACGATCCGGGATGGTCGCATTGTTGAGGGCGCCATAATCACCACAGGGCCGCCAGTCGCCTGATGTTGCCTTGGGTACCATGTGCAGTGGGGACGCCCAAGGGCTCTCGGACGGTCGAATTATTCCCAGTTGCAGCATGTGTTTAAACTCCGCCTTCGCGGCCTGAAAACGCTCCGGTGCTAGTCGTCTCGGTCGAGCAAACACGGGAGGACGTGAGGTGCGGATATGGTGCACAACATCATGTTGAACTTCACCACTGCGAAACTGGGCGTTAATTATGTTGGGGTGACTAAGCAGCAGTTGCCGAAAAGGACTAGCAATATCTGTATCCAGGACAGATAAGTTGGTGGGGGCAGTAAATGGAGTTAGTCCACGGACGAACAGACCGGCTGTGCGGTCGAGGAGACGGGCACGTCGACAGTCAACAAGGAGATCAAACTCGGCAAGGAAGTCCGAGCCGAGGATTGCATGAGGGACATCAGCAATCACAAAGATCCAAGTAAATGACCGACGAAGACCAATGTTCAGGGTGAGGGACAGACTGCCAAAAGTGGGAATTGGGGAACAGTTAGCAGCTTGAAGATGAAGACCAGGACTAGGGAAACGACGATCAGCTGCAGTTGGGGGAACAACACTGATTTGAGCTCCAGTGTCCACCAGAAAACGTCTGCGAGTCGCAGTGTCGCAAACATAGAAGGTGCGACCAGAGCCGGAGGAGCCAGAGAAAACGGTCGCATCTATTCTCTGGCTGACTGGTTTCCCTGTTTTGGCTTAAAAGAGCAAGGTGAGGAACAGCGACGGGCCTTTACGCCGAAATTAGTGTGGTACCAGCAAGTATCAGCAGTCCGAGGTCGCGAACGAGAACGACGACGACTGCGTGAGCGACTGGAAGTTAGGCGGGCGAGCTGTATTTTAAGAGAGGCCATCTCATCTGCCATGGCCGACACCTGTTTTAGTAAATGCTCATTCACTGACGATGAGGATGAGATCTGGGCAGCGGAAGGTGACTGGAATCGTTGCACCTCTATCATTCGATCCGCCATCTCAGCCAACTGTGACACTGTGAGATCCTGAGAGCCGGACGCTAGCATCGTTTGAACATCTGTGGGCAGGCGCTCCAGGAACATCTCCTTGACAAATTTATCATCAACTTGCATGTCTCCAAGGAGACAACGCATCCGACGTAGAAGCTCTGAGGGCTTCCGGTCACCCAGTGACTCCTCCTTAATTAACTGGTGATACCTCTGTCGGTCAGATACAGAATTAAGTCGGAGGATTTCTGCCTTTAACGCGGAGTAGGGAGCATCTGCAGGAGGATTAGCTAGCAAGGACTGAACTTGAGAGATGACACTAGCGGGGAGGACCTCTACGAGTTTGTGGTATTTTGCTAGCTCCTTGGTAACGTTGGCAGAATAAAAGGCTGATTCTATGCGGATGAAGTAAAGTTCTGGAGCGTGTTGCCAGAATTCAGGCAAAGTAAAATTGATTGCATGAAGGGACTGGGCGGGGGCATCAAGTTGTTGATCGGAGTGAGACATAATAAGACAGAGACGTCAAAATATCAGAATTCGTGAAAAAAGTAAATGTAAATGGAATAAATATTCACAAGCAAATAGTACGTTAAATTTTATCCAGTATGACAGAAAGCTATAAAGTCTGCGTAAACGTCGGGGTCACCAATGTCGTAAATCGTAATGTTCTCACGAACTAACGAGTTATATCTTACGAGCCCCTAGCCTTAAATGCAGCAAGTAAATCGGAGCAGTGAATAATATAGAGATTTTTGAACGTTAAGAAAAACTGACAACAGAATACCGCAGCAGAGCACGCTAGCAAGGCGGGTTGTACAGGTGTGTCGTTTCTCGTCACATTCAAACAAGCAATGCGGTCAAAGGAAATGGGACTAAATTGTCAAAGGTAAGTTAGTCAGGTACCTCACCACAGACTCAGTCTAGCTGTACTGCGAATATATTGCAGAATTATTAGTCAAAGGTGTAGCCCAAATTAAATAATAACGACCACTAGGATTTAGTGCAACCACATACATCCAAGTTTGGTTTAGACTTATGCGGGGCACACGATGTTGGAGTTCCTAATGCCTGCAGCGTTTAAAGCGCACATAACCCCCCGGTCCTTGGTATCTTCGCCGCACTATAAATCATATGATTACAACTTCTGAGCGACTAAAAATTGCTCTCACACACATTTGAGGATAGTTATTCGTCGGCGTCCATAAACGCCGATAACCCCTAATCAACCCACCAAGCTGACTCTGAGGGATCCGCAAATGACGCCTAGAGTCCGATCTAAGTCACACTAACACACAGGTGTACACACGGGTACAGAGGCGGCCGCGCTTGGATGGCTCTGAGGGGCGGTGTGTTTCATCTTTCAAAACGGGATTGGAGGGTGATTATTTCGTAGCACTCGGAGTGCACGCGCTCCTAAGATGATACATGCTTAATCGAAGTATTTTCACCAATTAGGTTTTTCAATTCCACGTTACGGCCTGTTATTGTTTAAAATTGACTCAGTGTTCCCGCTCCAGCCCTACTCTTTTACGTTCACTAATCTTGCGAATTCTTGTGAAGCAATATTTTTTAGTGTAAATGTCGGTGAACGTTGGATCCAGTCCGGTAATACAAAGTAAAGACACGAAATGTCTCTCAAAACTTCTTTCTCGCAATAACGAAGTCGAAATGACTCACATAATTGCAGATGTTTTAAATGACCCAGATCACATCATTTGGGAAGCACATTTTCGAAACGGGTGTGCGTTTTGTTTCACGTTTCGACCCGCCGGTCGACTTCGCATCACAGTTTTTTTAGTCCCCCAATCAAAGTGATTTAAATTAATAAATAACAGTAAGATGTCAAGTGTGGTTAAGGGGTTTTATTCTATGTTCTTGTTACCACCTCACATAATGACCGGTAGAAGTGGCTTACCGAGGCTAGTTTGCCTCATGCGCGTCCTAATTAACTGTGTCGGGACCATCCCACGTTAATCGTTTCTGCGCCTTCCCAAAAAACAGACCATTTCACAATGAAAGGGATCTATCAGGGCAGGTAGTTCTCGACATTGTTATATCCATGTGGAGAGTATTCTTTACAGGGATGAGTATTGCCTAGCAAGGCAGACGGCAACATAGAAGGCAAAATAAATGTGAAGAAAGGTCTTTCTGCATAATTTACCCAACATAGGTTTCGATGCGGAGCCGTGCAGTCCGCTATTAACGCCTAACTTCGCCAAACCCAATAAACTCAATGAAATGCGAGTGATAGATTTCTCGACTTATAGCCGCTTTCTCCCTTCTTATCGCCATCGTTAGGAACCGTGGCCAAGTAAGCACCAAATTCGTGCCCCCTTAGACGTTATTGCGCGTTTTTGCCATCATTTTGTTTTACGAAAACTGTGGGAAAATTAACTTGAACCGCGTGACGCTGGCAGCAATCAACTGTTACTTCAAGTCACTTCAGAACCGCGTTTATCAATCAGATCTGGTTGCAGAACGGAACGTTGATGCTCTGTTTTGACTTGTAGCTACATGCTAGAGTCCTCGCTGATGATGGCGGATTAAAGAACGATTGTAGTCGATATATATTCACTAGTAACAGTAGGGGAGGGTGCCCTGTAATTGTTTTTTTTCAGACAGTTCATAGTCGCTCGCCACCGTTATTGGGGATTTCTGGGAGCGCGAACTCGGTTTGTGTTCTTGTAAGATCCAACTGTATTCGAGGTACGTCCTCGCTTTAAGGCGGCTATTCTGGCTAAATTTCGCCATAGCCAGACAGATAAAAACCGTATTGTTTGGCATGTGCCGGTTGTTATTAAAACCTTGATTATGCCAAGCTTATCGCACCCAGAACTTCGCGTCTCCGAATTCTGCTGCTGTTAAATCGACGCTTATTAGGAGCCCATTTATAAGCAGGATATTTCGAAACTCCACTCTCCTATCTTCCCTCAGATTCCTCTTTTAGTGCAAAGCTGGCAGCTGTTGGCAGTCTTTGGAAACGGTTTGTCGGATCGGTCTTGGCTGAGAATGATTCATCGCGGGCTCAGAATCCACTTAATCGGAACGCCGCGGAATGGAGTCGCCTCACTGAGCTCACCTCAAGCCTTATTAGCTTGTGTCCGCCTTCACGTCGTCCAATTTTGGAATTTG